GATACTCTCCCACTGTCCCCCCGCTGTAGGGTTCTCTTCGCCCCCTCCCTTCCACAAACATAAACCTCCACAATTCCTGTCTGCCCTCCCACAACCCCCTCCCCTAACCTCCCCCCCCCCTCCACGCACCCTCCCACCCCGACACTGTCTTCCCCGCCCTTCGAAGTCCCACACAAAAAACCTTCCCGCCCACCACCCACCCAACCCCTGCCTCGTTTTTATTATCTGTGGTTTTCCGCCCGCTCCATCTCTCTGCTCACTCTTCCCTCTCGTTCACCTCGCCCCTTGCGTCCTTCTATCCGTTACCTCTCCTGCCCTTCGTCTACGTCCCTCTTCCCCCCATTCCCTAACTCGTTGGTCCGTCCTACAACCTCAATCCCAACCGCTGCACTTGGTCCGTCACCTCCGAAGCCAATGGAATGCTTCCTCTCTAAAGATGCCTACTCGCAGTCCTTTTCGCCCGACCCGCATCGTATATCTCGACCCCTCTCCACCTTCTCCTCCTCGTCCACAAACTCTCCGAGATCCTCGGGTTCCTCGGGTTCGGACCTCATCAGAATAGTTACGGAGCAGCGAGCAAAAATCGGCAAGCTCGAGGAGGACAAGGTCCTGCTGCACGCCAAAAACCTCTCCCTTCGCACCAAACTCGCCGATGCGAAGAGAAAAACCCGCCAGCTCGAGCAAGAAGTCGCCCATACCTCGGACCATTTCTTCCGCGAAAGCGACAAAAGGGAGGCCGCTGACGACAGGCTTTCTACCCTCAACAAACAAAACTCCGCCCTGCTCTGTCAGAACGACGCCCTCAAGCAGGAAAACGACGACTTGCTCGACAAGCTCGCCGAATTGCGTCAGAACTTCGTCCTGTATCACGGCTTGAGCGCGTGCGACCCCTTGCAAGTCGAGGATATTGTCACCCGCCTGCAGGCCGTCAGTTTGCGCGACAAGATCTTCCCAAAACAACCCAATTATACCACCGTCTTCACACCAAAGATTCCTATGACCCCAATTCGCGCTTTGGAAACGAGCGCCTATTTGGGGGTAGGCCCTACCCGCACCCTGGCTATTATGAGTCCTGCTTTTGCTTCTATGGTCAACGACACTGCTCGCCTTGAAGTCAACGTTGTCATCAACGAACCGTTTGTACCTGTTCACACCTCCGAGCTCCCAATTACTATCATGTATCTTGGCTTTTTGTATCCCGACGGAACGAGCTTACCGTACATCCCGATCAGAGACGTCGTAATCCAGTACCGCCAGTCAGTGGGGAAGCAAAGCCAAATCAAGAACAAGGAGAGATCCTGTTACGTAACTTATGGACACGATTTTGTCTATCTTTCTATGCCGAGGCCTGTGTATGAGCGTTTGGTGAGAGCGGCACGAAAGGCTTTTCATTCGAGGTTCCACCCTGATCGCAAGTGGAACACAGAGGTGGACTATGACGGTGACCGCGTTTGGGTGTATGCCGGCATGAAGCCGGGAGCGAAAGTGCAAGGCCTAGCTGATGGGAAGATGGGAGAGAGAGGCGTGAGGGATGCGTTGAGGTTGTCAGGCACTGACCTCGAGGGAAACGCTATGATGTACATGAGATTCAGCTTTCCGCACAATCAGGACTCGGAGCCGTCGCTGTGCTTCCGATTTCACAAGCTTTCGATGGAGAGAGAAATCAAGTCGTCACGTGCGTTCAGTCCCTTTATGTTACCGAAGCGAATGATGGGCAGTCAGGACGGAACGGAAGAGAGACTGCCAAGGACTAATGGCGGGCTTTTGAATATTGAGCAAAGCTTTCAGCAGTCGTCAAGGTTTGCTTTTCGAAAGCTGCTAGCATGCTCTGGTGGGCTTTGTGATATCAGGATGGGAAGAAGTGATGCAGAGCCTTCTGTATTGTAAGCGGAGGATGGGATGCTCAGGGGAAGATTCTGGGATGGGGGGGGGGGGTCGTTGTCGAAAACTGTACTGTATTTTCCGATATCTTTACAATATGCGGCTGAAGCGCGCGGGGCGCTTTGTCCTTTAACGGAATCTCGGGGCGCTTGCGTAAAGGAATGTACACGCTTGTGGTTGAGAGAGGCAGTGCTGCGCTGGTGATGTCAAACATAGTTGTTGATGGGGAGCAGGTTTTTAGTGAAGGTTTTGTTTCAGGCAGGACAGTTTGTTTTACTGATAAGTCCTGACTGTAGTTTCGTGCCTTCCACATTTGATTGAGTGAGAGTTGTTGTCTCTATTGATTGCCGTTCCTGTGGACGTTCCTGTGGACGTTCCTGTGGACATTTTGATCAGTTGATCGTTCCGACGTCGTGAGTCGTCGAGGGGAGCCAGGAGGGGAGCCGGGAGGGGAGCCGGGAGGGGTGGCGGCAAAGTGGCGCAAGCGACCTTGCTTACCGCCTTCATACATCCATGGCAAAGTAGAGAAAACTATGGCAGGGCATGTTTTGCGCAAGGGCCGTGAAGGCTGTGGCTCGTTTTGGGGAAGGGAGAGGGGGAAGTTCTGTACAGGGTAGGGATACTCTTGTCGACTGTACAGAAGTACAGCTGAACAGCGTAACGGATTGGTGAAACACAAAGCAGGTACAGATCTCCCAAGACTTGCGTCTGTTGATGAACCAATGAAAGTGATGTGTGGGGAAATGTTCTGATCTTGTATATTGATTGCTTGCCACTCTGATCTACGCTCGGATCGTGCACAGCCCACGTTGACTGGCTTAACGGGTATTTGCGTTCGACACCACGTGGGGAGATTTGATTGCCGGAGTTGCCCATTGCTATTAATTGGTTAGCGACCGTCCTTCCCACCACACGCCAATAATTTTCCCAAAATATCGTGATGCAACGCCCCCGCTACCCCCCTCTCGTTCACCCTCATTCACGTCTGCAGCAATGCCTCATGCGTAAATCTCTCACATGCCTTCTTGCGCTTACAGTACTCTTAAACTCGGCACCTCTTCAAATCACGCTCGCATCTACCGTAAAGCTTTACATACTGTACATACAGTATGGAGTCCATACTATGGACCGTGCACAGCCGTCAGCCAGGGCCCTCTGATAGCCGCAGGATACTGTAACGGCATCCTGTATCCGCACCGGCACAGTACTGTAAACTAGCATTCTCAGCCAACACTTGCGCAACCTAAATCGTGCCGTCCGGACGGAATTAGCTTCTTTTCAAAACTTTCTGTTTTCAGTCTGCATTGCTTTTGTCATCCGCGCGTCTGGACAAACTTACAGTACCTGAGAGGCGTGTACCGTGCACCTTCTGCACCCCCACCGTCGTCCCCGAACGGAAAACAGTTATGCTGTTCGCCCGTTCGAGAAGACATAGATTGCGTACAATGCGCACTTGTACAACACATCTCCAGTCTCCGAATGCCGTTCAGAAGGTACGAGAAACAGGGACAGCGCCGCCAATAACAACCTCTGTAGTACAGAGGTTGTTATTGTACAGAGTCTGTACTACGGAGAGCCAGGGCAGGCTGTCGTAATGCCACTGCTGTAAGACTCGTTTCTTACAGTCGTGACCGTCAACTGCCCGTTATCACCGAAACCTGCAAGTGTAAAGATAAAGTGTAAAGTCTACAGTGTGCCTTCTCTCATATGGGAGCGCCACGTGTAATGTACCGTCACCGAAATGCTCTCGTTGGAAAACCAAAGAATTTTGGAATCTATTTAAAACCTGTCCACTTTTCACTTGATCGCCCACTGCCTTTCTCCTTCCCCAACCGAAACTGCTCGTCAATCCCACTACCCAAACGGCCATGCCCAAAATTGGCGCCAAAACCGAGCCCCACGTCCACCCGCCAACCTCTCGTCTTCCCTCCGCCCCACCCTCTCGCACTTCTCCGCCCGCGATGCCCGCACCCCCGCATCCCCGCTTCCCGCTATGCCCGCCAACTCTCTCGAGCGCCCGGTCGCGCAGCTGCAGCCTTTGCTCGACCCGCCGCCTCCGTGGGGCTTCGTGGCGCGCCACCTCGTCGCCCTGCTCGCCGCCTACTCCACGGGCCTCTCGTTCCAGGTCGCGGCCGACGAGGTCTCGGCCGCGTGGGCGAGGCACCGCCGCGCGCGCGCCGCGCGCCCGCGCCTCCTCACCGCCACCGTCACGCACGTCGCGCCCGGCCCGCCCGAGGTCTGGCTCGTCCGCACCGCGGGCGCCGCCGACATCGCCGTCTACGCCCACTCCAACTACTTGGGCGTCGTCGCCCCGCGCGCCGTCGTCGCGCTCGACGCGCGCTGCGTCGTCGTCGCCCCACGCGCCCCGCGCGGCGCCGCCGTCGCCGACCACGTCCGCCTCGCGCGGGCCGCGTTCCGAGACGCCGGCGAGGCGGCCGCGCGCGCGGCGGCGACGCCGGAGCGCAAGGCGAGGGGACGCGCGTCGGAAAGCCCGGTCGACGTCGTCAAGTTTGGCGCGAAGAGCGCGCGCGCGCAGACGGCGGCCACGCCGTCGCAGGAGTTTGACGCGCAAGTGCCCGGCGGCGCCGTGACGCAGGTGGTGATGCCGACGCCGCACGTGTTTTTCGACCTCGACTCGATGGGGCCCGGCGCGCTCGGCCTCGACGAGCCGCCGGAGGCGTTCTCGTTGCAGCGCGTGTGGAATGAGCGCGCGCTCACGCCGCGGTGGGTGTACGCGGTCGTCGCGCAGGTCAAGCGGGAAGAGGATAATGTGGTCGTTCGCCTCCACGATTTTACGGACGCGGAGGACGCCGACCAACCGTCGGTCCTGTGCACGCTGCCAAAGGAGCTTGGCTCGCTTGCGGAATTGCTCGAGCCCGGGTACCACGTTCTTTTCGGTAACCTCGCGGTCGAGCCGAACGGCAACTCGTTTAACCTCGCGTGTACGGCACTGACTACCTGCTATTATTCCAAGAAAACGTGCACGGGGCCCTCAGACACTGTGGACAAAGGCGTGATGCGAGATATCACCAACATTAGTGGGAGAGAAGGAAAGCGTCGCCGCACTGATGCTGTTCTTTCACAAGCTGGTTCTGTAGTTTCTACAAGACAGGTGAGCGGTCTTGCTAGTCCACAAGCGCAGGAAGAGTTTGTGTGCCACGCACGCGTGGTAGCAGCGACGAAGAAGCAAGGTGACATTTCAGCAACTTTAACTTGCGAGGATGGTGTAACGGTGACAGTTGCAGGACCAAGACTGATACAACAAGCAATGAGAGTGAGTGTCGGTGACGAGATTCTTTTTCAGGAAATGAAATTTGGGCCGAAGGGTGTTCCCATAGATGGGATGGAGGGGTGCGGATGGGTTGCAGGTTGTATGGACAACCTATCGACTATGACGGGAGTTCTCTTCTCCCCTATCGTGCGACAACTTGAGCCACTGAGAGTTTGCTATTCCAAGCGTGCAGGGACAGTGTGCTCTTCCGTACGGACAGCGCATGCCCTAATTGGCATTCACGGAGCGGGACCAAGAACAGAGCAAAACAAAGTTGTGCTGTCGGTTTCTGACTGCAAGAATACAGTAACCTCTTCGCTGACACAAGCAATCGCCTCTGGTAACACTGCACGTGATACCGGACTACAAGGACACGAAGATAAGGAATCGGACGGGAAGAATAGGCGTTGGCAAATTGCAGTACGCGATAATTGCTTGGACGCATTGTTCTGGTCGCAGAGTGAAGAATCAGTCAGCGAAGGCGAAAAAATAGAAAGGGTGGTTGACATGTTGCCGAGGCTAAAAGCGAAGCTCTGGTTGGTGACATTGATTGTTTACGCGGACAAGGAAGCGCGGCTACCAGAGGTTAGCGCATGCGTTCCGTGCCAACGCGCTACGCAGTTGGCGTATCCATGAGGAAGACTGTGGAATGAGAGGGGCAAGATTCTCGGAGAGCGAGGTGTACGCGTAGTGGCTACCGACCAAGAATGGTTGCACATGAGCGTGATTGGACACAAGGCGAAAGATGTAAAGGAAGTTTTGGGAGGTGGTTCTGGCAAGGAAAAGTGTGCGAGTCGTCGATTATAGGGCTGCGGATATGAACGGCAAAGCGGTTGACAAGGGCGACAGTGCGGAGGGGAGACGGGTGGTCTCTCGACAGGCAGCATGCAGATACCACTTAGTATTATGCCCTTTTCGGTTTGTTTGCGAAACAGTGAGGTGTCGGATTGCATTTCCACATATCCATGGTTTTGAGATAAATGGGGAGCACTGTGCTGTACGTG